AAGGGGGACTGACTTCAGAAATGATGGAAAGGTAGACTCCCCAGGGCTAGGTGATCAGTTTGATCTGAGGGCTGTGAGAGAAGGAGTTGTCAAGGATGAAGCCCAGGTTTCTGGTCTAGGTAACTGAGCATGTGGACGTGTCGTTCGCCAACACAGAACACTGGAGGCAGCACTGAGAAGTCGGAAAGCGATTGGTTGTTTGACTCTAGACACGTTGAGTGTGAGGGCCTTGTGGGGTACCCAGGTGAAAATGTTTAACAGGAGTTGGACAATAGGACTATGGAGAGTCTGAAATGAAGGAAACATTGAGCGCTTTACCTACAGTCTCTTTTAATTCCCACAACAGAGTTATGTGGTGGGCACCGTGGGCACCTTCACTTAACAGATGGGAAGATGGAATCACATAAAGGCTCAGTGATTTGCTGAAGGCCAAACAGTTGTTGTCGCTGGATTTTTCAGAGCTTTTAAATGGCCCTTTAGCAGAGGAAATGGTGGAGGTGAAGTCATTTGTCCAGACCCCCATATCTGAGTGTTGGAATTGTAATGCGAACCCAGGCTGCATCTGGCACCAAAGCTACACACTTCATTGCTGCTCTCTCATGAATGGGAGCTATTAAAATGGAGAATGTGCGCATATTTTTCTGGATCCAGCCCTGCAAGGCAGAACTGACCCTGAATTTCAGTGATAATTCTCAGGAGTTGATAGAGCATGGGTGTTCTTCCTTGGTCATATGCCACAGCCAAATGAAAGCTTTTTTGGTGAAAGCAGAGGCCAAGAAAAACAGAGCTGTTTAGGTGGAGTGACAGTAACTGAGTTCTCGTGCGGCATTTGAAGGAGGTTTCAGAACAGCGGCTGTTCTTTCTCCCTCCATGGAGAGGTTGCACTGTGGGCGAGGAAGCCCCTGACTCAGCTGTCCTTCCACCTGACCTGCGATTGGCAACCAGCTGTTCTGTTGTCACCTCAAGTTTTTAGACTCTTACCGTAGCTACTCCAGATGTGAAGTATCATAGAACTAGGAATCCGAGCCTGGGAAGACAGGCTGGTTGCTCTCCCGTAGGGCTGGCTGGCTTGCCAGCTTGTGGAGCAAGGGAGAGGCAGGTACTTGGGTGCCCTTCCCTCTGTTGTGCTCTCTTGTCACTGCCCGAGTGTGCATTTTTGGCCATGGGTTTTTGAAATATAGCTTGAATACTGGTCTTCATCTTTGAAATATTATTACTGTTGAATCAAATCATTACCCTTCTTTATTCAGTGATGCAATTTACAAGTTCGATGTCTTTTTAAATTTAGTTCTGTTATGTCCAAGGACCAACTTGGGTATGTGTGTGTGTAAGAGAGAGAGAGTGTGTGTGAGTGAACTCCGATTTTATAAGCTTCTTTCCAGGTCTATTTTTATGTGATTAATAAGTTAGTAGACAAAGAACAAATGGAAATGTGGTATGTATATAAATCATGTGAGAAGTTGTACTTTCATTCTAATGATAGATACTGTGTAGTATGCTATACACCAGGAGCTGTGTGGACTAAAACATTGCATAAGAAGCAGCCCCTGCCCTCAGAGAGCTTCTTATACACTTTTCCCATTGGGGAGCAGGGGGTTCCGCATGCCTTGGCAGTTCCCATACTTGTCTGCTGTGTCTTTCATCAGCAGAGCAGCCTAAGGAGGCCTGCCCCCCGCCCTCAACACAGTGAATTTGAATTTAAGATTTTGACAGCTAGAAATGACAAGATAACAGTAATGACCTCATGGATTATAGGAAATCGAAAGTGGAAAGGGACACATATAAAGTTTTCCAGGAGGTGAACAAAGGGGGGATATTGCATGACTCAGTGAAAAGGGAAAGTAACTAGAGTCATCTTAACATTTCAACAAGCAGTGTCAGTTCGTTGGTGATAGGTGGGCAAAATGATTTACAGAAGAAAGTGAAAGGAATAAATGGTATTCATTTTCAGTCACATAGAAAGCTCTTTTTGACTTAACCATGAGTTCTGGAAGAGCAAGAGGTCCTGTTCATGGGTTGAAGGGAAAGAGGAAGACAGACCAAAGCGAACAGAGGGGAAGATAGAGGAGCTGATAGCCTTAACAGCACATGAATAAAGCCCTTTCCCTGGAAAATACATGTATAATTTTTTAAACTGACTTTAAAGATTAACAATGAATTAATGAAAACACCCAAATTCTTTATTTATATAGGAAGGTTTTTTCCCTTTTAGAAAATACACTGTTTTAAAACTCAACATCATTTCATATGTGCATCTCTGGAGAGGTGACTGCTGTCAGAATGAGGGTAAGTGGAAATGACCTCCAAGAGAGGCTCTTATATGACCTTTCGCTGACTCACTGGACTGGATGTGAACCGTAAAAGTTTAAGAGTTCCATGACGGAAAGCATTGCTAAGTGTCACTTGCTTTCAGTGAGAACTAATACCCGCCCCCTTTTTCTCTTCCCCCACCCCAACCTCATACATGTGCAGGAAGGTGAAGAAAACCAAAGACACCTGCACCTGATTCTGACACTCTGTCTCCCTTCTCCCCTGGGTGCTCCGGTGGCGAGGAGCAGTGCCTTCCACCTGGCATTGCCTCTGAATACTTCGTGAACTCCTTGGGGCTGTTATGTTGGCTGGTGCTTTGCTTTCTTTGGCTTCCAGCGCCAGCTGAGGCCCTGAGCTGAGTCCCAGTTGGGCAGGCTCTATTGCTCAGTGCTGTAGCTGTCTCCAGGGCATTGTTCTTGAGCCTTCCAACAGGGCAGATTTGTGCAGTTGGCCCATCTGGACAAGAACTCTAACAAGTAGAGCTCTGTGCAATAAGCTCATCTCCATAGTCCACCCCCTGCTATCCCCGCCTTCGGGCTGCAGCAGCCTGACACCCCAGCCCAGCCATGGCGAGTATCAAAGGGATACTCTCTGCTCCTTTCAAAGGGGTATTGCTTGTGTCCTCTCGTTGATTGGCACTACCTGGGCAGAAATGGGAAAACAGGGACTCTGCCCTCTCAGTTCAGTCTCCTTCCTTAAGCCAGTCCTTTGGTTTTGAATTTCTTTGACATCAGAATTATAACTTATATTGTCAATTAGAATTTCTGGACAACTACCCTGGTCAGCCCAGATTGCTCATCTCAAAACTAGGAGACAGACAGGAGAAGTTTCTCAGTGAACAAGAGAGAATAGACAAGCTCAATACGAAAAGGGGGAAAGAAAGCTGAGCTGTTGGTTTGACCATAGGATTTGTTTCGGTCATTGGATTTATTGACTTTCAGTTAGAATCACCATTTTGAGAAATGGAGAAAGGCAGAGCGGGGAAGCGAGGGAGAGGAAGAGAGATTGAGCCCACACAGTTAATTACTCTAGGTCCAGAGAAAAGGACAAAAGATTTAAAGACCATTTGATCACCTCTGTGTTCCAGCTGTTAGCCCTGCACTAATTTAATCTTACCATTTGCAGTTCCTTACAACTGGGTCACTTCAAAGGATTGAGTGTATCAGACCCATGCTTCCCCACATTCCAGTGGAGTGTCAGGCTTGAAATGGGCTCCACCACATCCTTTCTAGTCTGGCATTTCCCAGCGTCAACTAGCTGCAACCTCTCCTGACAAGAGAAGGGGTAAAAAAACAACTACTTTCTGGCCCTCCCTGGTGGCGCAGTGGGTTAAAGCACTAAAGCCACTTCAGCATGAGTTCGATCCCTGCCCCAGAGATGATCCACATGGCGAGGCAGACCTCTCTTGACCCGCCCACTGCTCCCCTCAGCAGTGTACTTCATCGATCTGCCTGTTCTGCTCCCCGCTCTGTCTCTGGTGAAGCCTCTCACCACCCTGGCACCTCTGGCCTGTACGCCAGTTCTGTATGCATGAATAAATAAATCTTAAGAAAAAAAAAAAACTAGTTTCTAAAAATTGGCCAAGTCAGTATTTGTTCAGCACAGGGGCCCTATCTATGCCGGCTCCCAGGAACATTGTAGCCCAAGTTTTCCTGGACAGGGTTGTCTAGCACTATTATTTGATCACCAAAAGGAGTTGAAGGAACAAGTTGGAAATGAAGAGCCCTGGGAAATAAAGAGATTCTGGAAAAAAAGGACACACATGGAAGTTTAACCAACAGAGGACTCTTGGGGAGTTTCTGTACTCTTTTCCTCCCGGCTTACCTTGACACTCACTTTCCTTGAGAGTTTGCTAGCATTCCAGAGTAAGTTTCTTAAAGGGATAAGCATTTTCTCTTCTTTCATACTTCCTAGTAGCTAAACATACCCCACTACTGTGCTAATTAGTTAGGGAATAAAACAAATATTTCTGAGACTGGGAAGTTCAGGTGGAAGTTCTGGAAGAGTGATCTTTTTGAGAGTCCAAGACTCCTGGCCCCATTTTGATAGAGCTGAATTTCCTGGGAGACTTGCAGACTTCTCTGCTGTATCACAGCAACATCCTACCAACCTCTGTGCAGCCCACAACTGTTCCAGTCTGGCTCAGAAGTACAGAACCTGTCACCTTGCCTTCCTTCCTCCATCATGGAACCTGACTGGGAGCCACACAGGGCTCCCTTGTGGTCAGAAAAGACTTCCTATTTGAGCCTTTGGTAATGGGGACAGGGGACACTGGAAAGGCCAGCCTCTGCATGGGGTGGGGTGGGATGGGTGGCAGGGTGAGAAGTGGTGCAGATTAAGATGAGAAATGCAAGAATTTAGCAGCAGTTGTCTGAATATTCTCCACTGCAGAATTGGGGAGCAGAGAAGCTCCAGCAAAGGAATGTCATCCAGGCCCAGGAACATGGCCAAATCAGGCCCATGGGGAATGGGAGAGCATGGAGGAAATCTGGACTAGGGTAGATAAGCCATCTTTCTAGAGTACAGCCTCCTTTGGCACCATGCACTGCTTTGGAATTGGCCATTGAATTACTGAGTGGGAGATCAGGAGCTGTTAAGCCCTTGTGGATTCTAATGGAGGGGGAAGGCCCACCCTGGTGGAAGCAGGAAGCCAACAGCTTCTTGAGAGGACTCCATAGCCCCTACTCTGTTCACAGTGCCTGATGGATATCTTCTGATCGCAGTACTTTATAGACAACCCAATAGAAAATGTTAAAGATGAGGAAAGTAAAAGGGAAGACAGCCCGGGAAATGGTGTCAATCCTCTTGGCTCGGTCCACATATAGTTTCCTCGTGGTTTCTGCCTCCCTTAGAAGAGGAGCTGGTGGTTGGGGGCTATAAATGCCAGAACCTTCCATTGCACCCCCATCCCTTGCCTGAAGACAGTGGCCCAGGCCATAGCCATGGAAATAGAAGCGACTTTCTCGAAGGACATCTTCCTCCTGGAATTACAAGGAAGAAAAGGCAGAATTTAGAGTCACAGCTCTAAGACAGGGAGACAGGGGCCAGGCCATATGCAAATACATCACACAATACACATAAATATGCACTTGGCCACAAAATTACTCAAAATTACTCAAAAGATAAATGTATGCTAAGCAGCTATATGTAGTGTGTATGGTATATGTTATGAATTCATTTGTATATAGACCCTGGGCTGCCTTTTAGAAAAGGACAGTATCCTTTAGAACCATCGAAAACCCACTAAAGTACCAACCCACTGTGACAGGGACACCTCAATGTCAATTCCTCTGACTGGAAATAAACAGAATAACAGAGCCTTTAGAAAATACAGCTGCGATATTTAGACTTGGTAAACTTGGCTTAAAGACTTTCCAAAGCTGTAGAATTAATTCTCCTGTACATAATGTCTTTTCGAAACTTGTTTATCTCCATTCAAAGCTGAATATTCCAAAAGTTTTAAATACCCCAGTGGGCTGTCCAAATGAGGGTAAAACTGATGTTGGAGATATGTGTACTTTTCTGTAGAATGGCAGATTTCAACACAGAGGTCAATAGATCTAGGATAATATTTATTGCCCAATGCACATTCCACAAATGTACAAGATGAACACATAGACAGGGGAGAGGTAAATTTTATATGAGCACTAAGGAATGCAGCAGTCCACAGAAAGTTCACTTGTCCAGTAAACAACTGCCATACTTAGATAGCTGTAACACAGCCAAGATTAGGATTAAGGACAGAAACATAGATCAGTAGAAAGAGGTATGTATAACAATTTGTGACATAGATGAGCCATAGCCTACATATCTGATGTATATGAGAGAACCAAAGCTCCTGAGTGGTCAGTAGAGATAGGCGTTAGGGCCTCCATTCAGAGCCTATTCTTTTTTTTTTTTAAACTTATTTATTTATTCGTACAGAACTGGGGTACAGGCCAGAGATGCGGAGGGTGAGAAGATTCACCAGAGACAGAGTGGGGTACAGAACAGGCAGATCGAAGAAGTATACTGCTGAGGGGAGCAGCGGGCGGGTCAGGAGAGGTCTGCCTCGCCATGTGGATCTCCTCCGGGGCAGGTGGGGATTGAACTCATTGGGAAGTGGCTTAAGCTTCTTTTTGCTGTGCTTTAACCCGCTGCGCCACAAGGGAGGGCCCCAGAGCCTATTCTTAATTCATATACAACCCAAACACACCTAATTTTGTTTACCTTTAAGGATGGGCTCTCATCAGAAGTGATAGCTCACAGCCTGGACATTAGACAGAGGACTGGTAAGTATACACCAGGATCTAGAAATGCTTCCTTCAACTATGGCTACAATTTTTCAAAGTATGGATGTTTACAGGAATCATAATTTTTGGAGTTAAAGCTTCAATGACCTAAGAAATCATGTGAAATGAAAGGCCCTTTAGAGGATCCTGTCAACTTTCATATCAGTTTTGACCCCTACTGAGGGCTTACTGAGACTGTGCACTTCCATTTCTACAACTAGGGAATTTCAAGGCAAACGAAGAAGAGTTGGTCACCCTGAGGCAGCTACTACAAATTGTAATAAGATATACGTGCATTGAATGCGACACAAATAGAAGTAGGTAGAGTAGGTTTTTACACACTGTCCAGCTAGGACATCATAGAATATTTTCAACAGGACGTCTGCAGCTACATGGCAACACACTGAAAAGTGGGGAGGAGAGATTGGCAAGGTGGTCCAGGTCACCCTTGGTTATTCCATCATTCGGAGGTCTGGCCTGTCACTGGCAACAGGTCCAAAGAGATTCACCAATATGTCCCATCTCTTTCTCTGCTTCCCATAGGCTCCAAATACAATGGTAAAAGGCATTGGTCGGTTCACTGCTAGATCCTAGCACCTAGCACAATGCATCTGATAGGCACTCACAGAGATCAGTTGAATGAATGAATGGACGGATAAGCCCCATGCTCTAGGATATAGCACAGGCGATGCGTTTTTGTCTTCTTGAAGCTAGTGTCCTCTCAAGATCTCAAAAGGAAGAGTATTCAGAAGAGACTCTTACTCAGATTACAAGGTTCTCAACCAGAAAAATGACTACTCTCTGCTCCACCCCACATAATGGCCTGATGCCCTTTGGCTACTAGAAAGTGTGGTGCTTTCAGTATAGAAAAGATTCTGAGTCTTGATTCTGTTGGTCTCTGGAGAGAGTTGCACACTTGTCACTATCGTGGTTGTGGCCCGACCCTCAGTTGTCATGGAGTGGATTTAGCTCTGTGCTCAAAGCTGCTTCCGCAGTCTCAGCCGCCAAAGGTCTTGACTCATCCCTCTGTATTTCCAGTTAATTATCACATCACCCCTAAAAGGTAGGCTGTGCTGGACCCATTTTAGAGAAGAACCAGAGGCAAACAAAGTAACTCCAAAGTCACTAAAAATGAAGCATGAAAATAATTTCTTGCTTTCCAGTTCAAGGTCAGAACCAGAACCCCTGTCCCCTATTACTCATCCTGACCCCCTCAAGTCCCCAGCTAGAGGATATGTTCACAGAGTGTAGTATGAGAATATGTCAACAGAATAAGCTGTCCTTGGCTCTTTGTGCTTTTAGCATATTATACCACTTGTGGGGGTGGGGGGCAGAGAGGTGTGGACTGCAATCCAAGAGGTGGGTCCTAGATTTGGGTATTATGTATTCAGGCCAGTTTGTGTGTGTGTGTGTGTGTGTGTGCATTTACATGTGCGTGTGTGTGCGTGTATATCAGGAAGAAATTATGGAGACTTAAATACCACTTTGTGGCTTTCAAGGCTGTTGAAATAGAACATATTTTTGAATCTCTCTATTGGAAGGAGGACCAGGGAGCTAGAGAGGGAAGGTATTCCAAAACTAAGCAGGAAAGTAAGGTGTGGAGATGGGAAAGAGTGATAGGTGTGAATATGTACGGCAGTGAAGATAGTGGTGAATGGGTGTTGCCGGGGATAGAGAGAAGCAAGCAGGGTTCTGGGCTCCTCAAAGGACTTGACAGTGTCTTGAAAGTTCTTCTGTTTCTCTAGTTATTCTGTTTAATGGGAAGGCTTCCTCTATGTCCAGCTTGCAAAAAAAGTTGTTGCCAGTCTGCCAAAGGTGACATGATGGCTGTGGCCGGAGCCTGGTGGTAGAGCAGGCTTGGTGAGGCTACATGAGAGCCATAGACCCTTCCCTTCCCTGTGAAGCTTCCAGACTAGCTGGGAAGACAGCAGAAATTGAACTGTTTTCCGCAGGGACGTGGAAAGAGACCAACACACAGTGAGGGTGGATGGTTGGGGAGAGATTGGAGAGGAACAAGATTAAGCCTGGATCTGGGTGAACAGTTGGCAGACTACTAGGATATTTCTAACTTGTTATAGACTAGGAGGTCCCTGGTAATCATTTGGCTTCTCTCCCCTCTCCCAAGAGTGATCCTTTCAGACCAAAGACTTTTGTTTCTCTAGCTGGAACAGCAGAGCCCAGAGAGAGTTTCTAGAAATGAACTAACTGTCTCAACTTTTCCAGCCTGCTAGGTGATCTCTAGGATTCCTGCTATGGTTCCATTATGATGGCAGTAAAACTCTGAAGGGGGACATGATTCATGGTACAGGTTTGATTTTCAGGCTCTATTTACATTAATAATTTCAGTCCACTTTCAGGCAGGATCCAGGGGCTAAGCAGGGCCTGATCTGCTGTTGCCATGTAACAGTTGAGCACTGATTATGACAGACCTCCATTATGAGGTCAGGATTTACCTGTATATAACCAGGCAGGGAGAGAGGCTGCTGGCATTTGGGGGTTAGAGAGGCGCAGGGGAGGGGGTGGGACTGGTGTCAACCTGGTATAGCTCTACAGAAAACGCAGCAGTCTTCTGTTGCTGGAACATCTACAGAGGCAACTTAGCTGGCGAAAGGACTCTGGACCTGGTTGACTGCCTGCTCTTCTCATCTAAGGTAGGCGATCAAGACCCTTATAAAGATAAGGTTTGAGTACCTGCAAGCAGGTTTGACACAACTAAAGAAAGGTGTGGGGAAAGTTACCTTAGAAGGGGGTACATCTTTCCACTTGTCCTCTGCTAAGTCTATATATTGGTTCTAACTTTCAGTCCCCGGTAAGAAAGGCTTTTAAGCCTTGATTGGATCCTCCACAAGAAGATACACTTATGGCTCAGTCCACTAGAGGGCGAGTTTTCCAGGGCCCAAGTAAAGGACTAAAATCTGGCATGAATTGAGAAACCCTGACAAAAAAAATCTCTGGATGAGACTGGAGCTCTGCCTTCAGCAGAAAGGCACCTTAAAGGGCCATGAACTGTTAGAGGTAGTTTGTGAGATCATTTTAGTGTAGATATATGGGAGGGATAAACCAGAAGCACCTGAGTTGGGAATGGGTGTTATGGGATGAGAAAAGAATCTAAGGTGGCCCCAAGGGGCTAGAGCCGGGACTCTCAATGTGAGTTCAAATCATAGTTTTCTCCCCCACTCCCCCACCCAAGTCATTCTCACACCTTTGGCTTTTAGAGCCTCCAAATTAGGCAGAAAACAGAGTCTGAGTTCAAGACAGACCAGAACTCTGCGCCTGATGATTAAGAAGCCAGTAAGTAGATCAGTAAAGGCATAATGGGCACTTGCTTCTCTAAGAGTGGCTGAGCCACCTCTGTTGTCATGACAACATACCTAGCACCTATTGTCTGGGCAACCAGGGAGAAAAATGCCTCTGTTGTCATGACGACAAGGTCCCTATTCTGTTTCTCCAGGTATCACTCTACTATGGAAAAAATGGGATTAACAGACAAGAGCGAAGAAGAACAAGCATTGACACCCAACAACTCTGATGCACCTGATGAAAGTCAAGAAGAAACCCAACAGCTGGAAGAGGCAAGTTGTGACCTTTTCAATGCCTACTTAACTATGGGGAATATCCTATAATGCTCCCTCAGAAAGACAGCAGTGCCTGACTCTTGAATTCTTACCACCAGTCAGTGTACAGCAACCCGGGGTGGGGGGAGGGGGGAGAAAAAGCATGAGCCACCATTAGTCATTCTCAAAGCGATTCCATATTAACTTATATGATAAGGGTGTGGTATGGCTAACATTTCCCCCCAGTGCTTATTATGTGCTTGACACTGTGTCCATACTCAAGTCACTCTAGTAGACTGCCCTATGGGATTACTGCTCCATTGGACAAATAAAGAAGTAGAATCAAAGAAGCTGAAGTGTTTAGCCTGGGACTAGAGTCCATGGTACCTGATTGCCTGGCTAGGCCTGACTGCCCTAGTTAGGTTGGGTCTGGGTCTGTGGGAGGAATAGCAGGGAGGAAGGAGTCCAAAGGGGAAAGGAAGCGGGCCCCTCCCTAGTTAGGCTCACCATGCGTTGGCGCTTCTGCCTTCTTCGGAGTCTCATGAATTCCTTATGCTGACGGGAGACAAAATTGACAGCAGCGTACTCCAGTAGGGCAGCGAACACAAAGAGCAGGCACACAGCCATCCAGATGTCGATTGCCTTCACGTAGGACACCTGCAACATTCAACACAGCAGTCTTCCTTCTTGGAACACTTCCCAACCAGTGGATTGCCAGCCCTTACCACCTGCCTGCTGTTTTTCAGTTTTATCCTGGACTTTTCCTGATATTTAAAGAAGCTGTCAACGATATGTCCCATTATCTAAAGGCCTATGTCAAAGAGCTCGGGCTACCCATCATCCTTCACCTCTCTGCCCTCTCCACCCTCAACTTCTATCTGCCTTTTCTCCCTAGACTTCTCTTTCTTGTCTTTTTAGTTCTCTTTGAGATTCTGTTTCTGCTTCTGCTTCATCTTCTTCAGACCTTTTTCTTTCAATAAACTGCAATGAACATGCCTACGGCCTTTGTTTGTCTGTTATCTGCTGGCGTCTCCGCAGCCTTGGTGGTAATTGGGACACATTCGTTTTCCCCACAAGAGATATGTGAGGACACTCGAGGTCTAGAGAGACCAAAACTTAGCCAAGATCACCCAGTGAGGTGGTGGCAGTGGGGG